GGTCCATACATCATACTACCAATTTTACACTGTGCTTAAAGTACATGAAAACTCAAAAAGCTACAAAGAATTATGTGGGTAGACTTGTACCAGTGTTTCTAAAAAGTTACAGACAGGTTTGGATTTTTCTCTAAGAATTTCAGCTATTTTTTGAAGCCCATCTTCATATATTTTGGTTTCTGGTGAAACAATTTTAAAGAAAATGAAAATACCTACTGCCACATTTTTAACATAAATATTCATTGTAAGCCCATGAATATAACCTTGTCTTCCTCCCTCTTAAAACATATTTATTAACATTTATCAACCTCCAGTACCTCTGGCTCATGAACAAGGAACATATGCATACTCATTAAAACATTCAGATAAAAATTTAGATATATTTATAACTTTATAGCTTTATCAATATAAACATGTAGCCTATGAACCTTAGGGAAGCTTTCAGCCCTTTCAGGTTTTAAATGAATGGTTCATAAAATGCAAATCTAAAATTTGAGGCTTTTTTTGAAAGGTTTGCTCAGCTTTAAAAAAAAAAGAACACTATCCATCTATAGCATGAATATTATTATCTTCTATCACAAACTTTGTGCTTTTTAAAATCATCTCTCAAAGCTTAGCTTTAGTTTTAAAGTAGAACTAAAGATATGGACTTTGCAGCAACTAGTGATATACATTTCTTACAGTTTAAGTCCAACTGACAGTTATTGAAAGCTTTAGAGCTTATTTAGACATTTAACCCATTTGAGTCTTATTATATTTAACTCCTTCAAATGGAACATGAAAATTGTATCACAAAAAGAACCATTATAACTCACTTTTCTTGCAATTAATGTTACCATCTCTCCTCTGTGGCAAATGGGACACTGTTCTTCCAGAAAGATTTTGGGGTGATCAGGAAACTAAAGACTTGCCAGCTTGGGAGAAATGGGAATTCCCAATAAAGTGAAGAATTCCTGGATACTGAGCTGAATGCAGTTTGCTCTGGTAAGACTGGGCATGGCTTCTGGGAAAGCCACGATGCTCTGCCCTTGCAAATCTCTTGGAGTTCTCTGAGGGAATCTTGAAGGATGTGGAAGAGGGAGATTCTGGTCCAAACTGCCCATAAAAATTTCTGAGAGGTTTTTAAGGAAGAATAAACAGGCAGTTCTTACTGGGGAGGGAGCTTTGCAAAGGGCCTGGATAAATTCCTGCTGGAATTCATTCAATTGAAAATACTTACAAGAGATGGACAAACAGGCTGAGAAGGGAGATTATGAGCGCTAAGAATTGATGAAGAAGGACTGCAACAAGACCTTGGAATGCTAAAACAGCCAATGAAACTCATCTTTGCAAATGAGAAGTGACATCCAAGGAAAAGATGGAAGTGTGACCTCATTGCCACCACTCGGGAGCAGTAGTTCAGTAGGTGGTTCAATGCAAACACTGGCTTAGTACCCAGCAACAAACTGAAATGTAGATTAAATAAAGAGTAACAGAAAATGAGACATCAAGACACCACTATAAATCTGTGATTCACCCAGACATTAACCAAATAATTGATTTCCTAACCCTCACTAGTTGGTGTAATTACATATGGCACGATTAGAAAAGAATGTGAGAAAGGTAATGAGGCCACCAAAGGTAAGGAATGGCTTCTGTCTAAACAGCATAAAAGGCACTCACCAGCTCAGCAAAGAAATGCCTAAGAGGAGATGCAGAAGATCCCCACAAAATTAGGAGCTATCAAGTGATATGTCCCAGGTACAAAGTGGACAAACAGGCAGTGAAAAGTCAGCCCTTAAACCGAGCTCCCGAGGACGCAGCAGCAATTTTACAGTGTTTCAAGAGAAGACTGAGTAAGGAATTGTATTTCTTGGAAAAGATCCATTACAGGTTGTTAAACAAAGCACAGTAGGTACAAAAGAGCTGATCTGAAAATAGCTGAAGAATGGAAGAACATTTGAAGACAGGATGAGACAAGGATCGTACGTTCTTGTTCTGTTCCCAGCCTTCCCAAAACATCTGCTTATGGCCCTTGCTGGAGACAGGACATTGTGCACTGACCTTATTGCTGATTCCACAGCCAGGTCTGTGCTCTCATTACCCTGAGCTTGGTAACCTGCTGGGATTGCTCCTCCCCACTGGGAAATGCTTAGTGCCTCCATATAGTACAATTTTAAACTCTATGGGTTTTTTGGTTTTGTTTGTTTGTTTGTTTTTTAAGCACTACCAACTATGGTTCTATTCCAAGGCATATTCCAGCTCCTTAAATTTGGGAACACAGTGCCTGCAATGCTCCACTCTGCAGTAGCAGACAGACATCCACCCTGATCCAGGTACTCCAAGCAGCCATGCAAGTGTGGAGCTCTGGATAAACCAATTATCCCCCTGCACAGCCACCAGATTGTGGTAACAAAACATACTTGTTTCATGTTTGCTCTGGTATTTACTTTCAGAATATTATTTAGTGGTTTTAAGAAGAAAAGAGATTTGTAAACTAAGAACTAAACATGTATTAAAATCTTATTTCATCAGTAAACAGCAAGATCTAACAAGCATTAGACAGCTTATTAATGAGCTTATTAACAGCAGAATCAGAAAACACAGAGCAAAGCCTGATCTGGTTCACAACTCAGTGTCTCCATCAGCAATTCAGCAGAAGCACCAGCCACAAGAGTTTATTGTAAAAAATAAAAATAAAGGAAGATAAATAACTGCATTTAGTTATTTAATCCAACTGCCTCCATTTTTTCCTTTAGCCTTAAAAGAGTAGAAATATATTTTGCCTTTTCCCACTTTTTTGGATGGTATTTTGTCTTTATAAGGGTTACTTTTTGAGATACTCACTTCAGTATTCTGATAATAAAAGTTTTGTGGATTAGCAAAGACTCCTTTATAGAAAACAGATGGTTTACAGTTCACGTTTTCTTAGTTTAATTTATTCACATTCCACTTTTACAATATGCATCCATTTCCTTCTTTGTTTCTCAATTTGATCATTGGAAGTAATAAACATTGGCATTTCCTACCTGAAAAGCAGGAAAGGAGAACGTGCTATATTTTTTTTACCAAAAAAAAGTATACACTAAAGAGATTTCACAATCCTTTTCCAGTACTGCTGCAGGAGTATGAACTTTTC